ATATTTAAAGGCATTCCAGATCTCACTAACATTAGAATCATTGTTAACTTACACAGGAAAAACAATGTTGGATTTTCAGGAGAATCTGACATCCCTCCATTTTCAATGCCAATTGCAAAGCGATAGAATCAAGGAGGAAGGGAATTTTGCCAGAGATGTACAAATCCCTGATTTCACCTCATACTGCACACAGTTTTGGGTGCCATGCCTGTCAGCTAGCTCAGTTGGCTGGACGACTGGTTTATGATGCAGAGAGACGCCAGCGCCAACTGAGGTTAGCATGAAGGTCCCACCTGCTCCACCTTGCGTGAGGTGTGGTGACCCTCAGGTTACACTCAATCATCACTCTCTAATGAGAGAGCAGCTCTTTGGTCCCTGGGACTATGGCAACTTTATTTACCGTATCTGAGGGATACATAACTTTAGAAGGCAAACAGCACGATTCACCAGAATATTACCAGGCTGTTAGACAATGAGGAACTACAGAAAATAGGCAGCTCTTTCCTCAAACATAAATCTTTAGTGAGAAATCACATCACTGAATGTCCACCCTGTTCTTAAATTAGAAATTTGCGGGGTTTGGGATTTTGCTGTTTCATTCATTCATGAAAAGCAATTATTCTTTATGATAGGGCCAAAGTGAAACCTTACCTCTGTCATTTTGTTTCAAATGGACGGTCTTCTTGGGGGTCTCTTGAGGTCAATTTGCTTTCGCTTCAACTGTCAAAGAAGAACATTTAACTCCAGATTTATTCGGCAGATGCTAACAAGAAGCAATGACTTCACAAATTCAAATAAAACCTATTCCCCAAAGGCTACAAAGGTTCATAAAATTGCCATTATAATTTCAACAAGTGATCCGCTGATAAGTAACTACGCCCTTTGCCCAGACTGGAGATTTTGTCGCGACTCAATAGACACACGGACGCAGAATGAGCGATGCAAAAAAAATTAAAAAGGACCCTGAAATTTCAAATCATTTCAATTACACAGGGTCAAACGGTTGCCTCTGAGCTCGTTTAAGGTGACGTTAATGGCCAGAATCATTACTGATCTGCATAGGGATAGTTTTCCTAAAGAATGATATGCACAAACGAAACCTTTCTTCTTTCATTGCGGCAGAGGCGTCAGGACGAGGAAAACGAAACTCTAAAACGTCCCGCCTCTGGCGACGCCAATCAAACATCGCAAAAACAGGAAGGGAAAGAGAAATGATTAAGCTGGCTCCGATTGCAAAATTACTCCATTTTGAAATTAATGTGTTACGCTTCACTCTGAGTGAATTATTTCACTTGTGCAAAGTAGAACATCTTAGAAACTGATGTTGAACTTGCGTTAGACAAAGTCACATTGGCAGTAGCTGATGGGAGAAATGTAGGCAAGTCTCTTAAGAACACAAACTAGACCGTAATAGTGGAACAATTCAACTATTTGAATTTCAACTAGGATAACATTAGTATCAAGGGAGATAAAGAACTGCCGATGCTGGAGTCAAGAGCTGGAGGAACACAGCAGGCCAGGCAGCATCAGAGGAGCAGGAAAGCTGACTCGAAGCTGCCCAGCCTGCTCCACATTGTGTCATCTGTAACATTAGGTTCATTCAGGAGAACGTTCCCAACATGGGAGGGGGAGTTTCAAAGGCTTAGTTTTAGGGAGTGAAGCTGGGCTGGTTAAAGGGATTTCAGTTGAGGGAAACTTTTTTGGAAGTGATCTTAATTCATTTAGAATTAGGGTAATTGTGGCAAAGATGAAAGACGAGAGGAATAAAAGTTCTCAGTTGGGGAAGAGCTAGTTTTACTAAGCTGAGATGTGTTTTAACTAAAGTGGACCAGAAACTAGGCTCGGTACATCAGTGCCAGATCAGTGGGAGGTCATCAAGGAAGGGATCATGAGGGTTCAGAGCAAGTATGAGCTCTGAAAGAACATGGGAGGACTCACAAATGTCAATGGGATTAAAGGAGAGAATTAACAAGAAAACAAAGAAACCTGAAAGTTAATGACAAATGCTGGGGGCCCAATGTTACAGAAAACCACTGTATTAAAAGTGGAGGCCTGACAAAAAGGGACAGTAGAGGGATGTTTACCAGGATCTGGATTGGAGTGTATTAGCTATAAGGAGAGGTTGGACAAACTTGAATCAGAGATAGTAGGAACTGCAGATGCTGGAGAATCTGAGACAACAAGGTGCAGGGCTGGATGAACACAGCAGGCCAAGCAGCATCATAGGAGCAGAAAGGCTGACGTTTCGGGCCTAGACCCTTCATCAGAAAAGGGGGAGGGGAAGGGGGTTCTGAAATAAATAGGGAGAGAGTGGGAGGCGGATAGAAGATGGATAGAGGAGAGGATAGGTGGAGAGGAAACAAACAGGTCGACGAGGTGGGGATGGAGCCAGTAAAGGTGAGTGTAGGTGGGGAGTTAGGGAGGGGATAGGTCAGTCCAGGGAGGACGGACACTTCCCTCCAGCCCCACCACACCCGGCACTTTTCCCTGCAACCGCAGGAAGTGCTACACCTGCCCCCATACCTCCTCCCTCACCCCCATCCCAGGCCCCAAGAAGACTTTCCACATCAAGCAGATGTTCACCTGCACATCTGCCAATGTGGTATACTGCATCCGCTGTACCCGGTGTGGCTCCCTCTACATCGGGGAAACCAAGCGGATGCTCGGGGACTGCTTTGCAGAACACCTACGCTCGGTTCGCAATAAACAACTGCACCTCCCAGTCGCGAACCATTTCAACTCCCCCTCCCATTCCTCAGACGACATGTCCATCCTGGGCCTCCTGCAGTGCCACAACGATGCCACCCGAAGGTTGCAGGAACAGCAACTCATATTCCGCTTGGGAACCCTGCAGCCCAATGGTATCAATGTGGATTTCACAAGCTTCAAAATCTCCCCTCCCCCTACCGCATCCCAAAACCAGTCCAGCTCGTCCCCGCCTCCCTAACCTGTTCTTCCTCCCACCTCAAGCCGCACCCCCATGTCCTACTGACTAACCTCATCCCACCCCCTTGACCTGTCCATCCTCCCTGGACTGACATATCCCCTCCCTAACTCCCTACCTACACTCACCTTTACTGGCTCCATCCCCGCCTCTTCGACCTGTTTGTTTCCTCTCCACCTATCCTCTCCTCTATCCCTCTTCTATCCGCCTCCCACTCTCTCCCTATTTATTTCAGAACCCCCTTCCCCTCCCCCTTTTCTGATGAAGGGTCTAGGCCCGAAACGTCAGCCTCTCTGCTCCTATGATGCTGCTTGGCCTGCTGTGTTCATCCAGCCCTGCACCTTGTTGTCTTGGACAAACTTAGATTGTATTCACTAGAGTGTCAGAAGCTGAGGGACGACCTGATATAAGTATATAAAATTGAGAGGCATGGATAGGGTGCATAATCAGACTCTTTATACTAGGGTGGAAAAGTCAAATGTTAGGGGACATAGGTTTAAAGTGACAGGAGGAGGAAGTTTAAAGGAGAAATGAGAAGCAAGTTTTTTTTACACAGAGGGTGGTAGGTGCCTGGAACGTCTGCCAGGGGAGATGGTAGAAGCAGATAGAATAGCAATGTTTAAGAGGCATTTAGACAGACAACGAACAGGCAGGGAGTAGAGGGATATGGATCATGTGCAGGCAGATGGGCTTAGTTTAAAATGGCATCATAGCATACACACAGTGGGCCAAACAGTCTGTTTGGGTGCTGTTCGAGGAAGAGCATGAAAAATATTGGCAAGTGGGATTCGATATAAACAGACCAAAAGAAAGAATAACTCAGTAACATGTGAAACCTATTTAGAGCAGTAAGGTAACGTGTGTGTGAAAATTATTTCAGAATTCAGACACTGCAATTGGGGAGGTGGGGTGTGAAGTCAGGTTCTACAAGATAGACTGGTTAGTAAGGTCAGGGGATCCTGGGAGAGCTAGACAATTGGATACAAAATTGGCTTGAAGTTAGGAAACAGACAAGTTGGTGGTGGAGAGTTGCTTTTTGGACTGGAGGCTTGTGACAAACGGTGGGCCACAAGGATCGGTGCTGTTTCCACTGCTTTTCGTCATTTATATAAATGATTTGGATTTGAATAGAGGAGGTACGGTTAGTAAGTTTGCAGATGACACCAAACTAGGTGGTGTAGTGGACAGTGAAGGTAATCTCAGAGTACAACGGGACCTTGATCAGATGGCCAGATGGAGTTGAATTTAGATAAATGTGAGGTGTTGCATTTTGGTTAGGCCAAACCAGGGCAGAACCCATACAGTTAATGGTAGGGCCCTGGGGACTGTTGCTGAACAAAGAGACCTGGAGGTGCAGATGCACAGTTCCTTGAAAGTGGAGTTGCAGATAGACAGGGTAGTGAAGAACGTGTTTGGTACGCTTGCCTTCATTGGTCAGACCATAGGAGTGTAGGAGTCAGGATGTCACGTTGTGGCTGTGCAGGACATTGGTGAGGCCACTTTTAGAATACTGCGTACAATTCTGGTTGCCCTTCTATAGGAAAAATGTT